GTGATGATGAGGTGGTGGTGATGATGATGATAGTAGTAATGGTAATGGTAGTGGTGATGATGATGGTGGTGGTGAGGATGGTAGTGATGGTGGTGATGGTGAGGTGGTGGTGATGATGATGATAGTAGTAATGGTAATGGTAGTGGTGATGATGATGGTGGTGGTGAGGATGGTAGTGATGGTGATGATGATGAGGTGGTGGTGATGATGATGATAGTAGTAATGGTAATGGTGGTGATGATGATGGTGGTGGTGAGGATGGTAGTGATGGTGGTGATGATGATGTTGGTGATGATGATGATAGTAGTAATGGTAATGGTAGTGGTGATGATGATGGTGGTGGTGAGGATGGTAGTGATGGTGGTGATGATGATGTTGGTGATTATGGTAGTAACAGTGGTGATGATGATGGTGGTGGTGATGATTGTGGTGTGATGGTGGCAATGATGATGATGATGTTCCTTAATGTTTTCCAGGCTTGGATCAGTGATACGGTTGTTGGCGATTTTCAAGATGACTTTTGATCGACTTGGAAACAGGATTACCGAAGTATATTTATGAATTTGTATTTGTATGATTCAATTTCTACTTGTTCAATTTTATCCTTTGCTAAATATTTTTATATTTTTCCTCAACACAGAAGTGGACTACCCGTCGATTTTGTCGGGGCCCTTGACGATGCTGAAGAAGGCTGTATTGCCTTTAACTTTGTGGCTTTGTTAATCAACTATTCCAACAAATCATCCAGGTATATATGTTGTGGCATTAAGCTGTAATATTTTTATTGTTACTTCGGATTTTTGTGGAAATAGTGGGGGAGGTGCAGTGGTTTAGCTCACGGCCCCCATGGAAAGTTAGGGCTTAGAACGAATGAATTATGACTGTACAACTCAACCAATTTTGCCTTCATTACAATTACTACAAAGCTTCTTTCAAAACATTGCATTAAAAGGATACTTGACACAGAGATGAATGGCTATCACTGTTTCAATTTTACAGAAAAACTTTCTTACGAAGTGTAGACCCTAAGCAACCGAAAAATTCTAATTTTCACTTTGATCCGTCAGGGTAGGTGCAAAAATTCTCAGGGGAGGTGCAAAACGATCTCATGGGAGGTGCGCACCTCCCCACATCTCCCCTCAAAATCCGACCGTGGGTTAACTTCAGAAAGGTTGAAACTTATAGGAACAAGCAAATTAAACCACGTATCTCAATTTCATTCATTTGAATCAAATACTACAAGACTACTGCATATAATGAAAAAATAAACATTTTCAACTGCTTGTTGACCATCGTCGATAGCGCTTAGTAAAATCCACCTATACTTAAACAGATTATTCGTCAGGCTGATGATTCGTCTATAGTATAAATCGGTCGATTGATAATCGATCGGACCATTATCTTTAAAGGAATCTCGCCATTACTTATATGTCAACGTTTGTTCTCTATCTGTTTTAGTTCCAAAACTGTCGCTCCTGTTTGTTCGACACCCCTACTGAGACTCCTATTACTCGCTCAGAGGACCGAGTATTAAGTAATGATTACAATCGGTGTGACCCTCCGACAGGTAAAATAGATGAATCTAATAATATATTTTCTGATTTAGATTGTTCTAAAGGCCTAAAAATGGCAAATTTAAATATTAATAGTCTTTTAAAAAGTATCGACCAGCTCCGTATCATTATGCAAAATAGCTCTATTGACATTCTGGCGATTAATGAAACAAAAATTGACCGTTCAGTGTCTGATGATGAAATTTGTATACCTGGATATTATCATATCCGTAAAGATAGAAATAGGTATGGTGGGGGAGTGTTATTATATGTGCGAGAATCTTTACCATTTTCTGAACGAAATGACTTATTAATATCTGATTCGTTAGAAATG